TTCTGGATATCAGCCACAAAACAAACGGCGTGAGTTCTCCATCTCATTATCAGGTTTCGCAAATCGTCCTGCAGTACAGGACCCGTCAACAATTCGTCATTGAGAGAGACACCGTTGGAGCCCTTGCACGAGGCGTCAAATACGACACGAGTTTTCGTGGTTTCTTTGTCATTACGGATCACGGCGTGGTGAGGTAAGTAGACTGATTTCTTATTTATTTCTTCTATATGTTTAAGGTCTATGTAGTCTTCGATTACATTCTTGTATTCTTGCTTTAATTCTTTATTTTGATTGAACCTTCTTTCTAATTGCATTAGTCTCTTCATTGCTATTTCTCTCGTATTTCCTTCTGTTGATTTAGGTTCTTCAATGTTGAATGGCAATTTGACAACATATCTTCCACATTCATCTCGCTTCTGTGTCTTAGTGTATATATCTTCGCATAACTGTTCCCTCTGTGTTAGGTTTCTTTTCGTATCTTCATCAACTTCCCATATTGTTTTCAGTAAATCTTCTATATCAACTTCTTGTTTCATGACCGTTAAGGGTTGTTCATGCTTGTTGACCTTGATGTCAATGCCACCCATAAGGATCCATCCCAGGTGTGTATCTTGTGCGCATGGTGTACCTGGTGGACCTTTGATCAATCCCTTCTTCATAATGTTTACATACTCATTGACACCCAACAGCAGATCGATGTTACAGGATGCGGAAAATGTTTCGTCTGCTAGTTGAATGCCAGCAAGGTGCGGCCAATCTCTTCTTATTATTGTGTCTGAATGTATGTTAGAAGTCAAGGGCTTCGTCATCACGTAGGCTTTAATAGGTAAAATGAAATTGTTCCATCGTGATAATACATTTACATTTACTTCATGCTTGACTCTAACCTTCGTGGACTCAAGTCCAGACACGATAAGATCCACTGCTGTCTTGTGTAGTTTCAGGATCTGAGTTGCCTTCTCACTTATAAAACATGCTTGAGATCCTGAGTCTATCAGCGCCTTCAATGTAGTAGTGTGTCCACATTCATTCTTTAAAATTACTACTGCAGTGGCTAATAGTGAAATTGTCTGTTTCTGCCCTGCGTGATAGTGTGACGCAACCATTGCTTGAACTTCCCTTCTTCTACATTTGCTTGATTGGATGACATCGGTTGATTAGCTACAACATGAGAAGCCGATGCCTCCCCGTAATTAGGTAGATGTAGAAGAGTGTGGTGACGTCTCTTACATACACGGCATGATGTTGGCAAACGGCACCTAAACACCGAATGTCCAACCCCGAGGCAGTTGAAACAGAGCTTGTTTGTTTTGACATGTTCTCTACGTTCGTTTGGTGACATCTTGGTGAATACTTTACAATGGCATAACGTGTGCGCATCTGTACATAAAGCACAACTTCTTTGCTTTGGTCTTTCCGTGGCAGTAACGTGAAAGACTCGTTCCTTGGCAAGCTTCGAAGTAACCCCCGCAGGTTGACTTATTCCAATGTTCTGAATTTTGCCTCTAAAAACTTGCGCAGATCCCTCCAAGTCGACAAGTCCTGGGAATTCTCTGAGTAGGACTTTTGTTCCCACTCCTTCTGGGACTCTGGGTCCAACTTCTGTGCAACCAGAAATATGATTACTGGATCCCAAGAATCCGTGGACACCTCCAGATTTTCTAGACTCTGTAATACTTGGTTGGTGGTGTCGAGAAGAGATTTCAGTTGGGTTGCGGCTTGGCTGGTACATTTCTTCTGAGCAAAAAGTCGCTTCAATAATGCGTTCACTATAAGACGCTTGTTGCCATATCGATGGTTAAGCGTTCCCCATGCTTGAATGTAATTAGCGCTTGTTATTGTAATGTTCTTCAATAAACTTGCTGGTTCACCTGTCACACTGGTTTTTAAATAGTGAAGTTTTTCGACGTCGTCTAGTGTTGTGGAATTGTGGACGAGTGATGTAAACAAATCTTTGAAACTAGGCCACAATTCATACTCGCCCGAAAACAGCGGTAAATGTATAGCCGGGAGATTAACTTTTTTATTTTGTTGGGGTTCTGGCGGCAATTGTTTATTTTTGCCAGACTCGACTGCCGCCAACATATCTTTTAAGTCTCCCAACATACACAAATACAAATCTTCTTGTATAAAAAATTCTTCATTCTCGAAATATGGCAGCAATCCACGCTGCTCACGAGTGGTGCAGGTCAATAATTGTTTATGAGCTTCTATGAATATCACCCAGTATTCCTCAATTGTTTTTATTCTAGATTGTAAGTAGCCCACTTTAGCCAGTCGTTCTTTGGGGCATTTTGATAGGTTGATCTGAGTTTTCTTCAATAATAGGGCTGTATTTTCGAGTATATTAATTGCTTGTTCAGTTTCCGTGGCCATATTTTACACGTCACAGTCGAAAATATTCACACAAAAACTTTTAAATATTGACGCGTCGGCGCGAATAAACCTAATTGTCTTTAAAAATTGCACAAAAACTTCAACCCGGCACTCGCTTATCGCTTTGGAATGCAGTTCTATTGTTCTCGCGGTAACCGGTCCTCGATGCAATGTTGTATTTCTATTCGGCTCGAAGTCGACCATATGGTAAGGTCGTAAGTTCTAGTTTATATCGTGCCGGCGGATCGTTTAGAAAAACACGTCTTTACTTCACAAATGTATATTGGCAACTAACTTAATAAATTTCATCGTAACAATAATTGAGACTACATATTTTTAGGTTTAAATTGCAAAATAGAATCACCACCTTTATATTAGTATGTACCTGTTTTGTCTAATAGTTCATTAAAGTAAACAATTAAGAATTACTCATTGTTTTATTCCTAAAACCAACATCTACCAGCTGACAGTGGTAAAACCTAGCATATACTGAATTCTAATGGTAAAAGCTCGAAAAAATCGTCATATTTTCAGAAATACTTACATTTACCAACTCATGTCGGTAAATCCTAAGACTTACACTTAAATCTTAAGATTAACCGTAGTTCGAACTTTTACAGTAACAAATATAGCATAATTATTACACACCTTCTAAGAATTAGTATAATATAGGTATAAACTACAAAAATCAATGCTACCTACATTTTGAAATAAATAAGAATGCTATATATATTTATTATTATTATACTTATCATAAAATTTTCTTTATTATTTTCATGAATTGTATTATTGTTGTTTTGTTTCTTGGAATAAACATAGGTATTTTTCAAATTGCTTGATGCTTTTACGAACCAATGTGTTGGGATGATGTTTACCCTTGTCGAAGTGGCGTGTAAATTTAGTATTATTTTAGGTTTAATAATTTTATTTATAGGGGTTTTAGTGGGAGTTGCTTTTTTAACATTATTAGAACGAAAAGTTTTAATAAAATTGGATTTATAGGGATTTTACAACCTTTTTCTGAGTATTAAATTATTTAGTAAGGAGCAAACTTATTTAAATTATTCTAATTATTTGTATTAATATTATTCTCCTGTTATTGGTTTTTTTTATCATTAATTATTTAAATATTAATTCCATATTCATTTAATATTATTATATTTAATTTTGGGGTTTTTTTTGTTGTACAAGAGTAAGAGTTTACATTTTATTAATTATTGCTGGTTGGTCTTCTAATTCTAATTATTCAATATGAGGGGCAGTAGCTCAAACTATTTCTTATGAAGTTAGATTATCTTAAATTTTTGGGTCTTCTTTAATTTTAATTATATTGTTTACGCCAACATCATCTATTGGGCTATGGTAGGAAGCTCCAGGTCGTAGTGGAGATCGACGTTTCTCACGTAGAAGGGCGCACCGGTGCCGGTGTAGCCGTAGGCGGTGTATATGGGCGGGGGCACAGTGCGCGAAGACTACGCCAGCGTAGGTCATGTACGACCTTGTACAACGCCACCTTGTGCCTAAGGGACATATGACTCCTTTTATCCGATTTTCGCACAATACTTTAATAATGCGATATTTATATTACAAATATTATTTAAGAGTCATGAACACGAGGGTTAAAATGCGTAAATGATAAACAGAGCTCCCTCAGCGAACCTAAAATACACATTATTATATTTCTCGTAAAAAGTTTGCTTAATACTGCCGTCTATATATATGTCTTCTAATAAACTACACTGTTTTCTCAATTCAAGTATTCATTTGTATTAGTTTTAAGTAGAATTACTTGGTGGCGCTGTTCTAAATAATAATAACTTTAATTCCGTATTAAAACTAGTACAACCTTTATACGCAACAACGGTGCACTCGAAATACTTTTATATTAGTTCCATAAATAAATACAAGATTGCACTATTCTAGAATTAAAATTAGATATTAAAACTCAGCGTATACCTAGATTTATTTAGGTGTTTGACTTTAAAAAAATATTTTGATAACATTCTAAAGCAACATCGGTAACAACACAAGAATTATTAGAGAGATTTTAACGTCTCTGATTAACTTGACTGTCAATAATGTCTAACTACCCAATAATAATATTATTCCAGTGACGCAGGCAGATAGCATCTGTATCTTTCATCATTTTGTTTTTTATAGACAAGTAGGTGATCGGCCTTTTGTGCCTGACAAAATATTACATACGTTTAATTAAGCCAGCCCATTTCTCACCATGTTTATTTTCACTGTTCAAGCAAATAATTTAAATACATTTGAACCCAAAACGTCAGGCTTAAACCATCCACTAGACAAACACTGCTGTTAATCTTACCTTTTAGTTGAGATATTATGTTTTTCTCGGTTAATTTAAGATTCTTGATTCCGACGGACCAATGTTATATATTAATTTTTAAGCTATTTAATTAATCAGTACTTACACGCGGAAAACAAATCTTGTATATTTTTCCCCAATTTTATTCCAATAATTCGGTACCGAGTATTTGATAAGAGATTCATGTTAATTAACGTTAATTATATTTATAATATTTCATGTATATTGAGGAAAACTGATAATGGAAAATAAAAAGAAACAAATGTGTTATTACTTTATTAACAATTAAAATTTAGTAAACCGTTGGCTTCGAATAGACTCCGCTTAAAACAATTGTATCTGTAGTCTTTTCAATGACAAAATACAAAAAGGGCCTATAAGCGTAGAACGCCACCGCCCTCTTACCCCGTTGTACCATATCTCTATGTAAACCAACTTCATTTACCTCCATAGACACATGTTGTACGATAGCCGGAACAAACAAACTATTCCTAGGAACACCGTAGAACTCTGAAAACTTCTTCTCAAACAAATCAAACACACCCATTTTGTTAAGCGGTACATTTAGGGCGTAATTTGTGTTTATTTCGAATTTCGGTAGTTTTACGTAAACAACTGTAGGTGGCTGCATATTTAATATATTTAGTATTTGTCCATACGTGAATGTCGTCATCTTCTGAAAGACATCGTTCACCTTTGTCTTTGGCCATGGCTTTATCAACAGCATGGCATATTTACCGTCGGTTCCATACGGCAATTCTAATACTTGTGATTTCAGTGGTGTAATCTGTGCACACGCTGCATTAACTTTTTGAAACATCATATTCACTTTACCAATTTGGCGGTTGTTCGCATCATAAAAGTTTTCAACTTTGACACTCGTGAATTTGTTTCTCCAAATGTGTTGGAACCTATTTACATTCGCTAACGTTATCCCATTGGGATGAATTTCATCTATTTGAATAACTTCTGGTACTTTAACTGAAAATTCCTGTCCTTCATCAAACATAATTCTATTTGCAACTATTACAGCCGTGTCTCGCTCATTTAGATCGAGTGATATAATATTCATGCCAATAATTTTAGCTTTCTCTTCGAAATCCATATAATTTAATCTTACATTTTGGTCTATTACCATATAATTTCGGCTAAATACGGTAGTATTTCCGGAGTTTGATCCTAGAATAACGTCGCTCAAGTTTTTCAAGCCATAAATCGACTCTATACAACTCTTTGGGAGAAAGAGCGCTCGCTGCAGTTGGGTCTTCGTGTTTCCCGCGGTAAGAAATTTCACGAGACTCAACATATTCCAAACACCATAAGGAGACACCGCTGCGTGACCAGCGGTTTCACTTTGAGTAAAATATAAAAATTCAGTTGAAAAATTATTTTCCCTTTCACTAAAGCACTGACAAGTCACAAATGTTGCCAATAATAAAATAAAATTTGCCAATTTCATTGTGGTTTCGACTGGTCTAAATTCAAAACTAAACTGACGCTAAATCAATTGGTATCGCAACAGGATGTTTATTAATAAGCAAAATGTAAAACCCCAGAGAATACTGGGATTGCTCCCAGAAATGTTATCTATCTAATGGCCGCGACTTTGTTTTCTTATGATAAGGTCAGTGAGCAAAGAGTGGTATGTAATAGAACTTAATAAAAGTTTTACTGAAAAGTTCCCATAATACTAGTTAAATTGTTTTTTTATGTATTTCTAATTGAGGTTTTTGTATGTATTAATATTTAAGTTATATTTGTTAATCATTGTCATTTTTAATTAAGAGTTATCGGACATTCTGGGTTCGATCTTCGGCGATACAATAATTGTTAAAGGGGGTGAATTTTACTTAAAATTATTAAAAATAGTCTTTTCCCGGAGTTCCATTAAAGTTACGTCCCTAAATATTTGATTAAAGTTATTCCTAATAAATTAAGCACTGATAGTTATGTCGTTAATAATCTGATTTCAGTTCCGTTCAAAATGTATTGACATATTGCTAATTATCCTGGAAACTTTAAAAATAATATGCAATTTCAAAGTTGTTATTCTTGGTTTATATCCATACAAAATACCAGAAACCCCGCTAGCTAAAATGAAATTTCCTTATTATAAGATACATTTGATTTATATAGTATTGAATGCTGTTTTGGCCTTTTGGGTGTGTATTTACCGCATACAAACCCGTAATATCTCCTCGACCTACCACGTAATATCTCATAGCGTTGTAAAATATATATCTTACTACCTAACTCAATCTTTGCGACACTAGACGTCTTTTAAATTGCCAAGAGTACGAGAGAGAGATCTTAATCTTAAAATAAATGAAATCGATACAATGAGAACAGGAACTAACTGATTAACTGAAATGTTATCTGAGTACACAATAATAACTTTATTAAAAAGGATTTTAAAAGATCTAAACTAAAATCTAATGTAGCTGTTTATTTGTTATTAAAAAAACAGGTAATTTCACAACTAGCAATAATCATTTCGAATAACATTTTGAAGTTTGAGTGGTAAGAACAAAATTATTGTAAGAATTACACGAGCTACTTTTTTACGGTTATTCAAATTAATTAAAACCACAATATAAAGTTTAATTTACCATAAGAATAATAAAAGTCGAAAAAAAAACATTTTTAATGCTTCAATGAATTTTAGCTTATCCACCTTAAAAGGCCGATCACAACAAAAAAAATACCAATTATGTACCATTTTTTTTCTATGATTTTGGTAGCTTAGAACCCTGTGGAGTTTCTAAACTTAGCCAGAAGCTATGAAAACTTCTTTTTGTATTTTTAAATCGAAGTCGAATGTTTGGACAAATCCAGCTAAAAACTTAACTTCTAACTTTAAAACCTTTTTTGAGTAGCTTTAACTAATTTTAGGAAGCTGAGATTTTTTTTATTTGAACAACATTAACACCATCATTTCACAGAAAAAAAAACTGCAAAATACCTACAACAAAAAAAGATATGTTTTTGAAACCTCGCTGGCAGAAAATATTAAAAAAACACAAAAAAAATATAACTCGAAAACTACAAAAAATCGCGGATGGGGTATTTTCGTATACCCCCAAGTGTGAGGAATCTAAAAAAAATATATTGACGTCACTAGTTGGACCAGCCTGTATATTGTTCATCTATGTAATCTGTTTTAGCTTTCTGTATTGTCTGTGTTTTGTTTTATAATATGTATGTTAGCTGTAAGATTACCTATAATTAAACAAATAATATTATAAACTAAACTTAAAAAAGGACAAGATAATCGTATTGCTAAGCGATGTCTTCCAGGCAACCATAATAGTATTTAACATAAAATATACATAATTTTACGCGCTTTTATCTTTTATATGCGCTTTAATTTGCTAATTTTCTTTACGCAAAAGTCAACAAGGGTCCCGTAGCTGATTCCACTGATTCCCTTGTTCTTGAGTAAATTTTTGAATTCCGCTGTCGACACCTTTCTCTGTATTGTGAAGTACATACATACAAAATATCTGAAGTAATATAATTTCTTTTTTTATTTCTATTGGACAATTCACACCAATTGACCTAGTCCCATGCTAAGCTGGTGAAGCTTGTGTTATGGGTACTAGGCAACGGATATACATACATATTATAGAAAGATAGACATATAATTACATATTTAAACACCCAAGACCTAAGTACAACACCAAATGTTCATCACATCGATGTTTATCTCAGCCGGGGATCGAACCCGGGACCCATGGATTCGCAGTCAGGGGTACTAACCACTAGACCAATGAGCCGTCATATAATTATAATATAATAAAAATATGCATACATTACACGGTGGACTTGATAATTGGCAGAATTAAATATGACCTTGCTGACTTTGGGAATTTACAATAATCGATAAAAGATGTAACGTTGGCTAAGCAGATGCAGAGCACAGATGGCTTATTTTTTTATGATATAGGAGGCAGACGGGCAGGAGGCTCACCTGATGTTAAGTGATACCGCCGCCCATGGACACTCGCACTGCCAGTAGGTTCGCAAGCGCGCTGCTGGCCTTTTAATAATTGGTACGCTCTTGTCTTGAATATTAAACAAAAAATAATAATTTTATGCCAAATGATTGTGGCAACTCTGTTAACTAAGTACTAACTCTTAATTTTATAATTCCTTAGTAATATTTTCACTTTAAAAAAAAAGATATCGCGTATTTTGCAAGACGCGTAACACGAATGAGCGATTAATTTATGTATCTTTTTATTAAAAATGTAAGAAATAGAAAATGTCTCTGGACAAGATGGCAGAGTATTATTATTAAAAAAAATACACCATTTTTTTAAAACAGTACATAAGTGTAAGTTGAAGCCGCCCAAGGACAGACACTGCGACGCTCTCACTATTTAGGAATCAGTTTGCTCTATTACCCTAGTTTAGGTTCGGATATAACAAAACCTGTGATAACACGGAACTAGCCTTATAATTTTCACGTTATCGGTCAAAATCCCAGTCATGAATAAAAATAGATAAAAAAACTGTTTACATAGCATAATATTTTTATTCGAAAACCCCGATCGATAATAGTTTGTTTACAAATTGATAAACGTTTAATAATGAGTATATCATTTTAATATTGTTAACTGACTTCAATAAATCCGAAGGCAATCTTTTGATTTTAATTATAAGTTTGGTTTGGTTTATTAGGTATAAGATTTATTAGCCTATATCGATGGTTTAGTTGCATACGATACGTACGACTTGACTTTCATATATGTGCCTAATATTATTATCCTGTATGTAAACAAATGAAGTATCGTTTAATACATTTAATTCTTTTGGTAATATACAAATGAATTGATACTTTTTAGTGAAAATATCGAGACATTTCACATTTGTTTTAGCAACAGCTTGACAATCGATGAACCACTAACAGTGCGGATATCTGAGAATTGAATAGTATTATGAGTACTTGTGTGCACAGGTGCTAATTAAAGATTTAAGTTGGCATCTGGTAGTTAGTACCAGTGTACAAGGATCCTATGATAACCAGAAAAACACGGTACGGATATAAATATCCTATATCATAGCTTTGAAGGTACCGTCTTTCGGAAGCCCTTCACGGGTAAAGGCCTCCTCCAGCTTTTGGGAGCGTTCAAGTATTACGTCACACAATTTTTGGAGATTATTGACCCCCCCATGTAACGCGCCGTAACTTTTATCTGTACCTAAGTACAGTACTGTACCCAAGTATAGTAAAACGTTTCGTGACCACCTAGTGACTCTTTATACCTAAAATTTACCATTATGTGGTGTAAAGTACTGGAAAGTCGAAAATAATATTAATTACGCGTAATCCAATACCCGCCCCGTATCGTAACGTTTTACTAATGGACCCCAAAATTCGTTACGTAATGCTTGAACGCTCCCTTTTCCAACTACTTGCTATCGCTTATATATTTTCATATTTTTTTTTGGTATAAGTCTATTTTTATTGCAATACCTAATGTATACAAAATAGACACAAAATTATGTCTATTTCAGATGTGTCGCAACAACAATTTAAAATCCCTTTGTCTGAAGCAAAGCTAACGTAGCTTTACGATCGATTCAACTACGCAAATACTCCGGAATTGTTTGTAGACTTGTATAAACATTGGCATACGGGATGCGAGACGCCCTAGATTTGGTAACGCTAGTCTTAGGGTTGTCACTGAAACTATTTTATAAATAAATCAAAGTGCAACTTTCTTCAGCTGTGATACTTTTTGACATTCAACATCTTTTGTCTTCCGTCACCGTGACCACGCACGCTGTAAAGCACGCGAAACATCGGAAAATTTTAAAATTATGCAAAATAGTTGTAAATATATATTTATACATAACTTCAACCAGTGTTTTCTTTAACATTACAAACATACATACAATAACACAAATATTTCGTCTTTATAATATTAGTATAGATTATTCAAGAAGTGGCTATGCCAGTCCTCTCGCGATTTTTCTTATCAAAATATTTTACTCAAACAGGTTGAAAAAATATAATCGAAATAGTATCGACACTTTCTCTGAGCTGTCCAGGGAATCCTGAACATCTGCAAATAAATAAAAATAGTACAGCATTAATGATTCCAAAGTTAAACAGATGGAATGCCCTTTATAAATACCGTGCATGTACCTCTCAACTCTTGACATGTCAAACATAAAACGACTTTCGCGGGTATAAAAATACCTAACCCTTGAAGATACTCGTTCCAATTAGTCACGGTTGACAACCCTACGAGTGCTTTCACATGAATTTGACGATACAAATTGGACCATCGTGCATCGCTGCACTTGAGGAAATATGATTTTATGATTATACTTATTACTTACCTTTGTGCTTTGAACTTTCATTTTGTTGTCGTTATTAAATTCTACCTAATTTTTTTTGTATTAAGATTATATTTACATCGGGATGTTTATGATAATTCCAAAATTTAA